TGTGATGTACCAGGAGTTTGGTATGTTACTTAATGTTACATTGACTCATATTGATTGTTTGGTTTATGAAATAATATTAAATTAGATCATTCCAGGCGTTTGGTACGTAAAGTTTTTTATTTTTGAAACGTATCGGTCTAGAAAAGCATTATACATTGTGTGTTTGTAATGTACCAAGAGTTTGGTACATTACTTAATGTTACATTGACTCATATTAATCGTTTGTTTCATGAAATAATATTAAATTAGATCATTCCAAGCATTAGGTATGTAAAATTTTTTTATTTTTGAAACATAAGGATTTGGCAAAGTGTTGGTGTGTTAATCCAAACGTACCAATTATTTGGTTTGTCTTTTGTCATTAGTTCGATGATTAATGATCAATTGGTATTAAACTATCAACTAATAGGTAAGCTAATTAATGTTATTGACATATTAATGCGATAAGTTTGAACTATTGTAAATTACCAAATGGTTCCCTAATATATGGGTTTATGAGATATCGAGAATATTTTGAAGATGAGCTATGTCTTTCAAAATTGTATCATAATTGAGCATATACAACTAGGGGTGGGCAAACGGGTCCTGGACCCGCAAGTAGGGACGGGTACTAGCGATTCGAGGCGGGTTCGAGGCGGGTCCGTGTTTTTTTATATCACAACGTGGCGGGACGGGCCGGGTCCAAGTAAAAAGCGGGGCGGGGCGGTTCCTAATTCCTGAAGACACGGGCCCCCGGCCCGAGCCGTATCTAGTGTTTTTAGGTGGAGATTACATCTATGTTGTTCATATCTCGCCCATATATCAGTCTAGGGCCGAACTTTCTACCGTTCACTTTTGCAAAGACTCGACTCCCATATTGAATGTTGAATCTTCTCTCCTCAGTCTTCCTCTAGTATCTCTATCGTCTAGACTGACTCCCACTCGAATCGCGATGGTTGAGATCCCGCAGCTTCTCAGAAGTTGACTCCGAGTCTCCGGCCACCACCATCCTCTCCTCTCAACTTCGACCACCACCTCACGGTCTTGAGTCTCCAAACTCCTGAGTCAATCTTGAAGCCAAATATTCAAACAAAAGGTATTTAATTTTAGCCTTTAGGGATTTATGGAATTAGGGTTTTTTTTTCTCTAGATTTAGGGATTTTGAGTTATTGTGTTCCATTCTGGGGATTAATTTAATTTCGCACTCTAGTTTAGGATCTGGGTTTTTGTACTTGCAGGCTCAACAACAAACTAGGATGAATAATTAATCTCTTACTCCATATTAATTAATTAATATTTTTATTCAAATAAATTTAAACATGTAATTCACCTTCGTCAATCGGCCTCCTCCCGTATCCGATCACTCGGTAAGTCCCTCTAAAATCAATTTTTTTTTATTTGTCAATTCATATTTCGTCTTATTTCGAAATTGCGATTGGGTATGTTCGGATTGCGCTATGGATTTCCGTTGATGAATTTGAGTTGGGTAGTTTTGTTTTTTTGTTTTTTAATTTTATTTTCCAATTTAGTCAGATGAATAGCTAAAGGTTTAATCTTGTACTGATTTTGTTTTGTTTCTATAATTCATTGGATAATTTTTATTTTTTATGATGGATTGTTGAGAAAACTGAGAGGGATTTATGGATTCAGCTGAATGCAACAAGTGGTCAAAGTTGCATGATTTAAAAGTTGACCATCTGGGATGATGATGATGATAAAGTTCTAATCTTTTTTATTGAATTGTATATTTGGTGATGATACATGATAAAACCTATAATCTGCCATAAGAAAAAAATGAAGGTTGGTTCTGATTTAGTTATTACCTTCTGAACATGTTGAAATTAATCACAGATTTGAGCCACCAAGCTTGTAGCTTTTGGATTTCTGATGCTTTCGTTTTTGTTTTGGTGGTCCTGGATTCGCGTTGATACGTCTCGCAATTCTCAGATCATTGAGGTTGATAAGTTCACAATGATGGAGTTGTCATCTTTAACTCAGGCTAACATTAGGTATGCTTTCAGTATCTGAGAACCTTCATTATTCCGAAGCATTTTTTAGCCATTGAGTATTCTCTTGTGATCATCTATTTGGTGATAATTGTTTTGTTCCAGTCTGCCTTTCATTACTGCAACTGCCTATGGGCTGAAGCACATTGAGACAACCCTTACAAGGGCGAAGTTTGAGGAGTTGTGCTTAGTTCTGCTTGACAGGTGTGAAGTTTTGTTTCAATGTGCTCAGATATTGTGGATCTGCATATTTGGCTATAGTTTTTTTTTTTTTTTTGCTAATTTCAAGATGTCTCCTTGATGCCTAATGTTGTGGAATGTATTTTGGTTGCTATATTTGGTGGTATAATTTTGATTCTATGAGCTTGGGAAATATTTTATTTTTTTATGCGACAGTTTATGTGGAGAAGATCATAAGACCTTGGATATCTATGTATTGCAGTATGTGGTGGAGCTTCAGGTCTTGTAATTTTCTAAAACATGTATGTGTTGATGTGCAGTGCAGTTTATAAATTACAAAAAAAAAGAAAAAGAGTTGGACCCATGGACCCGCCCCGAATCGGCCCGTTTGAAATCGATCGGGTTAGGTCCGGTTCCAAAACTCAAAGTCCCTCTACCCGGCCCGTCCCGTCCCGTTACTGTTTAAAACAGGTAAGGTCCAGTTCCTCCAAAATTGGGCCCGGCCCAGCCTGTACCCACCCCTATATACAACATTAAGCATGAAGGAGAAGCGTTTATAATGGTAAGATAAAAAAACCATAATGATTTATTACCAAAAACATAATACTGAGCAAAATCAAAAGGGTGTTGAGCAAATTATATATAAAAAAAAGATAGATATGATTGATAATCAAAAGGGTGTTGAGCAAGTGTTTTTATTGTGGTGTCCAAGCTTCTTGCACCTCCCACACTTCATTGGTCTTGATTCTTCCCCATTAGACTTAATTCTCTTAACCTTTAGTCTGCGGGGTTGTTTTCTTGCCATTGGAGGCTTGATGACAAAATCCTTCATTATATCAAGTAGGGTTTGATGGATGTCAGGAATCGGTTCAATTGAAAAAGAATATGAAGACTTACAGTACTCAACTGTGAAATAGTCTTCAATGTAATAATAAGGATTGCTACCTTTGTGCATGATAGCTGCAACTGTGTGTGAAATACACGCACATCCATTTCACATTCCGAAAAAGACAGCATGTGCATCCATTCATAGCATATGTAAGGTTAAATGAACCAACTACCAAACCATTGAGCTAACCTGGTTGCACAACTCAAAAAATGAAGTGTGCTAAAAAATGGGAATAGAAGCAGTAATATCATTATGGGTACATCTCCCAACAATAGCTCATTCCATGAAGTCCTACATACAAAAATAAATTGAAAAACTGAGCTATACACACCAGATTACCAATGCAAAATGTAAAATTATATATCGACCAATATTGAAGAACTAAATGGACCAGGGAATTCCTATTTAGCAAAGTAGCAGAGAAGAAAGCAAAAAACAACCTATTCTACATCAACTTATTTACACCAAAGAAGATATATTAGTGTCCTCCCCATTGTTATTAGTTGCTTAATTTTTCTCTTGTTTTTTTTTTGTTAAAAATTGTTGTAAAACATGACTTTCATAAGCCTACACGCCCAAGCAAAATGCACGCAGCACCAATGCTTATTTGGACTTTCAAATTTTCAAAAACTCATCACAACTTCTTCAATGTGCATCTTCTAGTGTTATAACTTATTAATATAAATGAACATTAAGCAGCAAACCCACAACAAAATAACCAATCTAAATCCCTTTTCGAATCCAAACTAAAATCGACAATACTACAAAAAGACATTAACTTTATGATAATTATCTGAAACCCCATTAAGCACATTACTTTAGTTTAAAGTAGGAAATCCAATTGTACTGTTAAACTGAACAGTGTTTTGGCCGAATTCCATTTTATTTACAAAATTGCAAGCACTTTTTCTTTCCCCCTCTATCACTGTTCAGTTGAACAGTGATTTGGGGAATTGTAGTTTATTTACGGCCATGCCATCAATGCAAAGGGACGCGTGTTGGTCATCGTGAAAAGGAAGGAGAAGCTACGTTTTTTCCAGTTATATTTCCATTCAAGGGTAAACTGTCGGTTTACCCCCTGAACTTTCACCTCACTTTCGATTTCCCCCCTGAACTTTTCTATTGGAAAATTAAGGACTCAAACTAATTTTTTTAGCCAATTTGCCCCCTACCGTTAGTTTTTCATATATTCCATCCATATTTCCGTTAAGTGAGACCATGTGCATAACATGTGAGGATAGTTAAGTCATTTTAATTTAAAAATGATTAAAAACTGAAAATAAATAATAATAATAATTTTCCCTCTATTTTTTCCCGCTAATTCATATCCTCAATTTTAATTTTCCCTCTCATTCCTATGCATGAGAAATAACATATGGTGTTATTGTCTTCATAAGTAGCTAAGTTAATCTTTTTTTTTTAAGCATGTACTACCATTTTTATTTTCTCTAACAAATTAATAATTTGACAAATGCTCATGGTGTTATTGTCTCCAAAGCAGTGCATTAATATAAGAAGCATGTCCATAAAAAAGACTAGGGTTTCTTATATTAATGCTGCTTTGGAGACAATAGCACCATTAACATTTATCAAATTATTAATTTGTTAGAGAAAATAAAAATGGTAGACAATAACACCATATGTCATTTCTCATGCATAGGAATGAGAGGGAATAAAATCGTGGATAGGAATTAGCGGGAAAAAATAGAGGGAAAGTTTTATTTTTTTTATTATTTTCAGTTTTTTAATCATTTTTAAAAGTGAAATAACTTAACTATCCTCACATGTTGTGCACATGGTTTCACTTAACAAAAATATGGATGAAATATATGAAAAACTAACTGTAGAGAGTAAATTGGCTAAAACAATTAATTTAAGTCCTTAATTTTCCAATGGAAAAGTTAAGAGGGAAATCGAAGTGAGGTGAAAGTTCAGGGTAAACGACAGTTTACTCTTCCATTCAATGATCTCGTAAGGGGAGCCCGCACTCCTCATCTCTCACTCTTCCTCTCTCTTCTTCTCTACTGGAAAATCCAGTCTTTCATCTTCCTCGGCTCTTCCTTTCTCTCCGCTCCCCATATCTCTCTCCGTGGAGCCTACAAACTAAGTAGTGACGATCGACAAGCTTCAAACATGGCGGACGCGTACTGGAGAAGGGACAGTTCTGTCCGTTGCAGAGAGAGACGGGGGAGTATGGGCGTAGGGGAGAGGATTTACGGCAGGGAGGTATGGGTTTAGGGAGAAAGAGTAAGGGAGAAGTATGGGGTAGGCTGATTTCCAGGGATTTCTTTTCACCCCTTCACTCACCACGAACCCACCTTTCCTTTCTTTTCTCCCGCCCTCAAATCTTCCGTTTTCCCTCTCACAAAATACCCACCAGGGAAACCCTGCTTTTGGTTTATTTTGGGATTTTGTTTGCGCTCTCGATTTTCAGACGACGGGCCATTGGTTGAGATTTGGATTTCTTCCCCTTTTGTCGAAACGCACAAATTTTGTTTCGGTGGGATCGGTCTCGAATAGCTGTGTGTGTCTACCCTTTTCAAGGTATGGTGTTCACCGATGGCATGTTTTAGTGCGTTTCTGTTTTTCTTTTTTTTCTTTGTTTTGAATTTCTAATTTATCGTTTGCTGCTTGACAATGGTGATTGTATGTTTTAGTTTGGATGTTTTTCTGATTTTGGTTGGTCAGTTTTTTGGGCTGCTTGAGAAAATGTGATCCCATGTTTTGATTGAGTGAAATAATTAAGAGATAAAAAAGAGTGGAGAATTAGTGTCAATAGTAGTGATGGAAAAAATGAGGAAGAAAAGATAGATGTGGGAGAAAGGGGGGGGAGGGGACTGGAAACCGAGGAAAGTGAAGAGAAAAAAAAATAGGGAAAAAAGGCTTAATGTGGGGAGTAGGCAAAAGAAAAAAGCATGATAAGGGAGACAGAACAGGAACAAGGTGTGGTTTTGTTGTTGGTTTTATCCAAATTTTTTATTTGGAATTTGATTTGAAGCTTATATTTTATTAGTTTAGTCTAATGTAGTGTTAGTTTATGTAGGTTTGTAGCTAATTTAATGTTAATGTTGATCTAGACGTTTTAATTTGTTATGAACTTATATGGGTTTCGTTTTTTAATTGTTATTTTACAGTTGCTAGGGATGACTTTGGCTTTTATATTGGTTTGGGTATGTTTTTTTATTTCATTTGAAGATTTAGTGTCATTATACACCTTTGCACCACTGTTTTTTCTGTTTTTCTCGGTTTCTGTATATAGTTTTGGTAGAATTGGACTGTTCTTTTTAACTTGATTATAGTGTTTGAGACTTAATTGAATGAAAGTTTAGTTGGGTTTGATCACGATGAGGTGTTTGATGTTGGGTGTATGATCCTTAGGTCCAATGGAAATGTGTAATTCCCATCTTCCAGTGATAAGCTTTTAGGATTTTACAAATTGTGGTTCATAAAGATCATTCACTGTATAGAAGCATTATGATTTCTGGGGTTTGATATTTCATTTAGTTTTGTTATGTTTTGAATATAAGTTTTTCAAATGGTTTGGTTCTTCTTGGGCCGTGCTATGCAAGAAGGTTATTGAAAGAATTTTTGCTAAGGGTTTATCAAAGAGCTCTGTGTGTTTACTGTAAGGTACAGTGTTCATTGATCTCAACTTTTAATTTGTTTCTCATTTTTTTATAGTTTTGGATTTGTAAAAACCCTCCATTGAATTGGATACTGGCATGGTCCCTTACAGGAGAAAATAACTTCATTTTTTTTTCTTAAAATTTTAGTTTTTGTTAATATTTTTCAGAGGAACTCAGGTGGTAGCCGGTTTGCTATGTCACTTTTTGGGATGAAATTACTATAAATACATAGGAAAAATTGGATTGATATTATTGGTTTGTATTCAGAAATCCAAAGTACCCAGAAATCTGAAGTGGAAAAGAAAGGTATCCATCTCTTTTTCTTCGACTTTTGCTTAGTTTTACCTCGTTTTCCATTTTTGGGTGATGTTTTGTGCTTCATAATTGGCTTTAATACAAAATTTTTGAAGCTACTAAACCCCCATTTGGTTCTGTTTGATTGATTGTCTATTTAGGGTGTTTTTTAGTTTTACTTGGTGGGTTCAGATTCATTTGGGTTTATATGTGATTTCCAGTCGATTATTTTTTTATTAGTTGCAGATCATATTTACTATGGAAGTTTGAATCTTTGTGGTTGTTTCAGTGTAGTTCTTGGGTACACACACATTTATCCAATAAATAAGTTCATGACATTGTTTTCAGGGGATGGACAGAAGTCCCAGGCAGCAAACTCTCTGTAATCATCATTGGGAAAATATTGTGGTCATTTTGAGCTCGGATTCAGCCAGCATGTGGTGAGCATTTCTTTTCCTCTTACTTTCATTTGTTTATTTGTGAATCAATAACTTTTTGTGGAATAATGAATGTCACAATTGCTAATAAAGTGATACTTTGTTCGGAGCTTGAACTGTAGATCTGTGCAAGATATCCATATATGGATCAATGCTATGGACTCTTTTCAACCTATTTACCTCAAATTTCAGTGCGTCTTCCATCATTTCTCCTACCTCATTATATATGGAGCTATTACATTTGCAATCATATTAATTCCTTGAAAACAATATTTATATTTCTCTGTAAACTGCTAATTTTGGAATATACTATCGTTTCCTTGCTGGTACATTAAAATGGAAATATGAAAAGTAGAACCGGTTTAAGAAGCATGCTAATCTCTATTTACGTTCTTGGTTGTCTACGATAATTTTTAGTTATGTGAACTAGAAACCATTTGTGATTTAACTTGGAAAGTCTCTTAGCACCCCTCTGTGTATTTTCGTGAATGAGAATAAGCACGTCCCTATTTGTAGTTTTACTCTGATTAAAAGTCAGAACAATGTCAAGGCAAGCTGCTTTTTGTAATCTAGGTCTGGGTTATGGTCAAGTTATTGCTATTTGTTCTGGGTATTTGCTGAAATTTGTGTTCAATTAGTGTGAGTTCTGTAATTGGTTTGTGTTCGTTCATATAACCTTCTGTTCTTGGAATGTGATTTAGCGAAGGCCCTGTAATTTGATTCGTAATTCTTTATGATTCAGCACTATGTTGATGACCCTGAAGTACCTAATGTCCAACACCATTGTAACATTTTGAAAGAACAATGTTTTTAAGGAGGTTGGATAGCATCTTAGGGCATGTTTGTTTGGCCTCACTAACCTTCCTTAGACTAGACTGGACTACCTATGAATCTAATCCCGTGTTTGGTAGGTGCTAGGATTATGTTTAATAAGACTAAATGGGACTCGCATGGACAAACTCCTTCGCTAGGAGGCCTTAGCGAGACCCCCCAAATTGAAGCGGACTGCTAAGACCATCACAGTTTATCTGCTCTGCTTCGCTTTGCCAAAACCGCTTATCTTGGATCGATTGACTGCTCTTCCTCATGCGAGTCCTTAGGTCAGTTTCTTCTCTTATCTCTCTGTTTTCTTGGATCGATTGGCTGATCTCTCCATTTTTACGGTTTGATTATGGGCTATATTCTTTATCTGCTTCTTCTGTTGCGATTGGCCGATCCCAAATTCCATTAGTTTATCAATTCTTTGTTTGGTGTGTACTGGATTCTTTGTCACAAAATGGGTGTAGCGGAGATGAGGATGCTTCGTTGGATGTGTGGGCACACAAGAAAGGATAAGATTAGGAATGAGGATATCCGGGGTAAAGTAGGAGTAGCCGAAATTGAAGGAAAGATGAGAGAAAATCGGTTACGGTGGTTTGGACATGTGCAAAGAAGGCCTACTGACGCTCCGATTAGAAGATGCGACTATGGGACAGAGGTTCAGGGCCGAAGGGGTAGAGGAAGACCTAGGAAAACTTTGGAAGAGACTCTAAGAAAAGACTTAGAGTACTTGGATCTAACGGAGGACATGACACAGGACCGAGCACAATGGCGTTCAAAGATTCATATAGCCGATCCCACTCAGTGACTTGGATTTTCCAAGTCTCCAACCAAGAAGTTTTCCTCACTCGGGAAATTAAGGGAATACTACCTCAACCTACATGCTCCATTCACAAAGCTTCAACATACAAGCTTCAACAAAAGAAAATTCAGAGAACTTAGCGAAGAAGGCTTTGGTGTATTCAACACAATACGTTGAAATGAAGGAAAACTATTTATTGATATCCCCGATAAGTCACAAATATGTACATATACATGAGTCAAAATAAACAAACAAGAGGGAGCCTTCACAAAGGTTGCTTAGGAGAAGTCTCAGCAGTCGGTAGAGCCCCAGAAAGAGCAGGCACGGGAGGGGGATCATTTGGAGCCTCAGTACTGGACAGAACCCTAGAAGGAGGAGGCAGCAGAGGTTGATCATTTGGAGCTTCATTACGCGGTACAGCCCCAGAAGACGAAGGCAATAAATGCCTTTGGAACAAACCCACAAATCTCTGATGATCAAGTAAAACCTGACCATCAGATTTCTTCATCTGGTCAAGCTTCCTCTTCATGTTTGTAGCATAGTCATGTGCGAGCCGGTGCAACTGTTTATTCTCATGCTTGAGCCCTCTAATCTCCTGTTTGAGACTCATCACTTCAGCCGCCAATGATTCAACTTGGCGGGTTCGAGCAAATAGGCGTTGGGCCATGTTAGACACAGAACCTGCACACTGAACACTGAGAGCCAGAGAATCCTTAACAGCCAACTCATCAGACCGTTTGGAAAGTAGTCTGTTATCTTTGGGAGTGAGAAGGTTCCTGGCCACTACCGCAGCGGTCATATCATTCTTCATCACGGAATCCCCAACAGTAAGAGGACCAGTAGGGGAGACGAAGGATGGGCGCCATATGTTGTCTGGAGAAGGCGTGGCTGCCTCTTCAACAAGGTTCAAGTCAAAACGACGGTACGAGAGGCCAGACATTTTCAAAGGTGTTGAAGAGAGAAGAGGTCGGACAAATCAAGATCTTAGAAGTGCAAGAATGGAGTTTCTACTGGTGGAGATTCAAGTGTGCTTTGGAACTTAATGCCAGCCTCTATAAAAATCTGCACTCGACGGAGCTTCAGAAATCGAAGAGGCGTTTGCTTTCTCAAAAGCTGGGCTGCTCAGAGACCACGAGACGTTTGCTTTCTCAAAAGTTGGGCTGCTCAAAGACCACGAAGGCCGATCTCAGAAATCGAAGAGGCGCTTGCTTTCTCAAAAGCTGGGCTGCTCAGAGACCACGATGGCCGATCTCAGAAATCGAAGAGGCACCTACTTTTCCAGCCTTGTCAGCACCTGTCAGCTTTGCGGAAATTATGGGCATTATGTCGAAGATTTCTGGTGAAGTAGAAAGCACATGAATCTTACTGTTCAATCACCCACTTCCCACACGCAACATTAGCTCATGGGTACCACAGATAACTTTGCCAAAGTTCTCTGACAAAGTTGAGACACGTGAAGCTTGCAGCTCCCACTACACCGCTTTAACCAAGAAGGGTAAAAGAATAGCAAAGAAACAGCACTAACAAAGTTTAGACACATAAATTTTGAAGGTCTAGCTACCATATTATTACCCACAAGGGTAAAGGAACAGTACCACTGCTGGATAATTGGAAAGTTCCTGTGTGTCAACCTCTGTGCTTCGTGGCAAGATAGACTAGCAAACATGCCCAACCTTTTCTCACATTCGAGAAAACACTCCCAACAAAATTGCTTGCTCCGAAATCGAAGAGGCACCGCCCTCCGAATCTCGAGAGCCAGACTCCTAACATGATTACTTTCTCAAAAATCAAAGAGACACCGCTCTCCGAATCTCGAGAGCCAGACCCCTAGCAGGATGGCTTTCTCAAAAATCGAAAAGGCATCGTTCTTCGAACCTCGAGAGCCAGATCTTCGACATGATTGCTTGTTCGAAAACCGAAGAGGCACCACTTTCCCAACTTCAAGAGCCGGATCTCCTTGGATAAAGCTTGTCTGTAATCTTTACACGCAACATCAGCTTTCCAGATACCATAGACCACTTTTTCAAAGTGCTCTGACAAAGTTAAAACATGTGAAGCTGGCAGCTCCCACTACCGTGTTATGACCAAGCAGGGTAAAGGAATAGCATTACTACTTGTTGTTAGGGAGACTCCTATATATGTTGACCTCCATCCCCAACAGACAGGCAGACCTGCAAAAATGCTCAACCCTTCCTCATATCTGAGAGGGCACTCCCAAAGAAGCCTTTCGAAATATTCAGCTTTCTTTCCCCCCGATAATACCTCTGCAAACAAGCTATACTAGAGCAAGAATATCTCATATCATCAGGGTTAAAAGCAAGAGTATCCCATATCATGTTTTTTCCCTGTCTTTTCCTTTGGCCTTGTTCTTACCTACAAGACAAGGAGAAAGAGAGCAATCAGTCAGCACTTGGAATCAAGCTTCCAGTCAGGAACTGACTGCCTGGAACCCCTTACTTGATTACTTACCTGGCATTGCTCTCGAGTACTCATCTTCAACATCTTATGCTTCCAGGGAAGATACCGCATCTGCCTGAGGAACATATAGGGCAAGTGAGAAGGATACAAGGAAGCATGTGGAGACAAGCGTAACAGCACACGTGCCGATACATCCACTACTCTGTCAAAAGCAAAAGTATCCCATATCAGCAGGGTCGAACGTACTATAGATTTGATGGACTTGTTTTGACCCTCAAATTCTTCAGTCGGCCTTATACTCTGGAGGAAACCAGAAAACCCTCCAGCCCAGTTCAAGAATAAGCCTGTGGAAAGTTACTTCTTCAAAAGCAAAAGTATCCCATATCATCTCTTCTCATTTTTCTTCTCTTTATCCTTCATGCTGCCTGCAAGATAGGGAGAATGTGAACAATCAGCCGGAACTCGAAATCAAAGTTCTGATCTGGGACTGATTGCTTGGAGCTCTGATTGCTTACCTTGTCTGTCACCTCTTTCAGCAGATCCCCTAGCTCGGTGACTTGGAGGACTCCTACTACATGGTTTGTATCGCGCTTGACCAAGCCTGAAACTACAAGTAAGCTTCAAGTGAAATTGATACATTACCTTGTGCATCTCCACCAGTTAAAGATACCACCCCTGGATGGAGGAAGAGTACTTCCAGAGAAGATGCCACATCTACCTACGAGACAGATAAGGCAAGTCAAGACGATACCACACTCCGGAACTTAGAAGTTTCGTGATTACGAGATCATTCTCCCACAATATTTCCTAATGTCATTTGTACTAAATCATTCACTTGTACTCACTAAAAGAGAGCTTGAACCTATGTACTTGTGTAAACCCTTCACAATTAATAAGAACTCCTCTATTTCGTGGACGTAGCCAATATGGGTGAACCACGTACATCTGGTGTTTGCTTTCCTATCTCTATCCATTTATACTTATCCACACTAATGACTGGAGCAATCTAGTGACGATCACAAAAAGCGACCGTTTTCTCTACCTAGGATCTATCTTGCAAGAGAACGGAGAATTAGATGGAGATCTCAACCATAGAATACAAGCTGGATGGATGAAGTGTAAGAGTGCATCCGGCGTGTTGTGTGATCGTCGTAGGTCACTGAAGCTCAAGGGAAAATTTTATAGGACGGCAATAAGGCCAGCGATGTTGTATGGCACAGAATGTTGGGCGGTGAAGCATCAATACATACACAAAATGGGTGTAGTGGAGATAAGGATGCTTCGTGGGATGTGTGGGCACACGAGAAAGGAGAAGATTGTGAATGAGGATATCCGAGGTAAAGTAGGAGTAGCCGAAGTTGAAGGAAAGATGAGAGAAAATCGGTTACGGTGGTTTGGACATGTGCAAAGAAGGCCTACTGACGCTCCGGTTCGAAGATGTGACTACGGAACAGAGGTTCGGGGCCGAAGGGGTAGAGGAAGACCTAGGAAAACTTTGGAAGAGACCCTAAGAAAAGACTTAGAGTACTTGGATCTAAAGGAGGACATGACACAAAACCGAGCGCAATGGCGTTCTAGGATTCATATAGCCGACCCCACTTAGTGGGAAAAGGCTTTGTTGTTGTTGTTGTTGTTGTTGTTGTAATGGTTTTATTGCTTTTTATTTAAATTTAAATTTATGGGTATTCTTTCTTTTGAAGAATTATTGTTCAGGGATGAATGTTACTTTAAGTAAATTATGATAACAGATGAATCCCATAAATACTGAAAAGATCGATGTAAAATTTCAGAAGAAACAATAAAGCACTGGTCACCGATTTTGACCAAAAACCAAATCTTTAAGTTAAACGCCAACCAAAAAGTAAACTCATTTAGTTAGCTGGGGAATTGGGTGTTGAAAACTGTGGTTCGAAATTTTGATGTTGGTTTCAAAAATTTCTTTTTTATTTTCAATATCTGGATATTATGAAGATTGGTTGGATCGCAATTTGTTTTGGTTAAAGTTGTGCCTGTATCATGCACTATGAAGTTGAATTTAATTGAATATCACTGAATATTGTTATATGGTGCTTTAGTACCTTCAAATACTTGTTTATGTGTGGATAGTGAGAATAATATGAATGTTGCACAAGGGCTGAAAGAAAAGAAGTGTAAATGGGAGGCATTTGAAGAAGAAGGCTAAATGGCGCTACCATGTTGTATTGGCAGGTCGGGAAAAGTTTTGAAGAGGATAGAGAGTGAGCTTGGAAATGTAAGGATTTTGCATGTGTTGTGTAAGGTGACTGGCAATAACCTTATCTTGGTCAATTAGCAAAATGCTATCAGAATCTTTCACAGCATCAAATATCTTTGAGAATTCTTGAGCTGCCATTGATTCCTGCATTTGTGCACACTTTCATTTATTCAAGACTTATACAAATGTCTTTGAGAATTCTTGACTGCCATTGGTTTCTTCCGTGCCATGTAATTTCATACTTATAGAAATGTCTATGCGTTCCTCAAAGCTTATGTTTTCCCAAGCCAGAGCAATGTTGAATCTTTTGGGGGTTTTTGTTAATTATTTGTTGATGGTAATCCCATCTCTCTTAAGACTGTTTTAGATGTACAATATATGTCATTTTTTCTCTATGGTATGACTGAAACATTAGCTCCGTTTCTGGTATCTCACCCTTAAGTTTGCAGGTTTATATGTTCGTTTTGTTTCAAAAGATTGCTGGCTGTCTAGTTGCGGAACCAATCAAAACACACAAAGTTCATGTGTAGTTGATGGAAGTTCTGATAAAAAGGTCCAAAGCTTTTGTTGATGCTTTGCCCTCATGGTAGCTAAACAACTCTGCTGAAAAAAGCACTGCCAAGATGAAGATTGAGGACGATGATCAACTATTTCAGAACAAATTGTCAAATTCTCATCTGGCTTTCGCCAATTTTGCAGGAGAGAGAAGATAGAGAAAGTGGTGTTGTACTAGATGTGAAGTTCTCTATTTATTTTTATTTTTTTAAGTTTTAGATTTTCCTTTTCTAAAACAACAAGTGTGGATTAAAATGTGAATTAAAAATGATAAGAAAATTAATTTGGGTCCCAAAAATATTTTAGTCCGGCACTTCTCCAAACACTTAACTATTCTTATCCTGCTTAGTCTAAGCCAAGCTTGTCCACCTTAGTCCCTGAGACTAATCTAGTCTGAGATAGTTCAGCACAACAAACGCATCCTTAATTTATATGGGAGTTGGTTTTATCTTCCTTTTGTGCTGCTCTTTCAGTTTTTCAGTCTCTCTGCATAAATCAAACCGTATGTGTTTTGCCCGTTTTTGTTCATGGCCCTATTGTTTGTAATTGTAGTAGTGATCCTGTGTTTGATGTTGCAGAAATTACACCGTATGTATTTCACCATGAATATGCATGGTGAAAAAAAAAAACCATGGGGAAATCATTTTTCGTATGATTTGTATTACCTGACCATGCAGGGATGGTTCAAAAAACAACAGGTGACGTTTGTGATTTGACATTTGACGTTTACCTTTGTTGCCTCTCTCTTTTTCTCTTCATTAATCTGCCTTTCCCTGCCTTTTCGTTTGTAAAATGTTCGAATATAGTCATCTTGGGAGTCTTAATATGATCGTTCTTTTATTTCTTAGATTCAAAATGTTTTTAATTTCTTATTTATTTGGTGTAGCTTTGGTCATCTCTAAAATTTAATCAGATTTGGTTGTTGAATTTCTTTGAATTGCTAATGGATTTACTTTCTTTGGAAATTTCAGAAATTCTGATCGTGGGAGGAAGAAGCTGGTTCCTTACGGCATGTTCAAAGCCTAATTAGTCATGTAGATTTTTTATTTATCTTTGTAAATCTTTCGTGCTTGGATTTTAAATATATGATTGATTTTTGAGAAATAAATGAAAAAAAGAATCTAGGCGACATTATTATTTTTGGATTTTCGCCTTTGCATTGTTTCTTGAATGAATTTGGATTAATAGATGCAGGGGTAGAACAACGAGGTGTAAATAAAAGGTCTCGATGTAACCATTTCTGGGTTTAAAATTGATTAGAAAATATGAAAGAATATTGCGTTCTCTAATTTTTTATGCTATTTGATGTTGTGATTACGGGTTAGTTTATACTCATTTTTAGTTGTTAAATATTGTGACATTTGAAAATCTTTAGTTCTGTGTTGGATTTCAGTATTGTCCCCGCATGTAATGATTAAAAGGCTACAAATTATTTTCAAATTTTTTAGTGCTGTTAGGTCTGGTATTGGGGGATGGTTGTTTCTCTATTTATCTGTTTCATTTTCTCATTTTGGGTATTCTTCTCTTTGTTCTGTGTACTTGTTCTTTGTTTTAAGGTCAATTGCCTTTTTTTTTTTTTTTTATGTTCTTTTTTTTGGGGGGGGTTTCATTTTGTTAATTTGCGACAGGTGATGGATGATCAGGACCTGGGCTTCTTTGCCAATTTTCTCGGCATCTTCATTTGGTAATAGCGTATCATTTTGTGATGCCCGACCCAAAATATGAAGGCAACTAATGATCTGTTTCTTTTTTATGTATTTGCAATGGATATGCAATTTTCTCGCGACTAATGGAGTTAAGCTATTATTTTTGTAGCGTGAACTATTTCAGAATGGATACAACTTGATTTAGTGAGAAGCTTTGGTATACAATATGAATGTGTGCTGTTATGATTTTCTTTCTCTAGTTTATCTGTGCTTCATATTTAGTTTTCCACGCCTTTGCATTGTTAAGGGTGTGGACCGTGTTCGGACTGTGTTTTGAAGGTTACCATTGCCTGTGGTAGTGAATCAAATGATCCGTTGTTCGTAGAAAGTGCGAAAAACACATTTTAGGGTTCATGGAAAAAAACATTCCTTTTGGTGAATATTCAGAAAGATATAGGGAAATTACAATGTGTACTGAGGTCAATGGAATATTGAAAAATCTAATGGCATTTGCCAATCTGTTATATGTAGTGTCAAAGCCAACCATCTCTCATAGGAGCTATGTATGTGCATTAAATTTGACTAGTTTTCTCACATCTTTCTTCATCTCCATTGTCTCTCGTAATGCTTTGAATGCAGAATCCCAGGCTAGTTAAACAAAGAACCATTTGGCTCGTGTTTCTCTTCATTGTCACAAGCATGTACCTTGTCAGCTACATCTTGCAACGATGGCCTACTGACGTTCCGGTTAGAAGATGCGACTACAAGACAGAGGTCCAAAACTGAAGGGGTAGAGGAAGACCTAGGAAGACTTTGGAAGAGACTCTAAGAAAAGACTTATGACGTGTTTACGAAACCGGAACAGAATGGCAAAAAACGGAATTGCATTCTTTTCTAGGCATTCAAGCCGTTTACTGATATTTTCGGAATAAAAAACAAGATGAGGTCCACTTAAAATCAGGAATTGGATCCCTAAATCTCTCGGAATCGGATCCCCTAGATGGAGGTGGTATTTAGATTCCAGGGAGAGGGCTCTTCCAGGAATCCAACTTTTATACCCAAACTACCCCCTTATCTTCTACCTCCCTCTTCGTACTTGTGACTCTCTTTGCCCAGTCTGCTGACTCTCTTGCACGTTCACCAACTTAATCACGATTCTGGATGATTTTGTGCCAAGATGGGCTTCGAAGATTGAGTTGGTGGAATGGGTTGTCATTAGCGAATAACAGATTTGAAACTCGTTCGGTGCCATATCTGCCAATTGAACGACACTCTTAACACCTGGAATTGAAGTTGCAGTGGTGGTGGGGTATATTCCAGTGACTGTGTGGTTGGAGAGAGATGGAGGGAGATGAAAAATAAAAGACGGAAGCTGAAGATTGTTGGGGTATGAGGGCGGTGCGGACTTTACGAGAAAGAAGAAAAACGTAGAGTTACTGGGGGATTGGGAATAGAGCAAGGAGATTTGATGGTGGAATTTAATTTAATTAATTAGTATGAAAATAATTTATATACGTAAGAGCAATTTAGTAATCATCCTAGTTTTAATTCCGATTGAAGTGAATTAGTAAACAACTTATATGGACTCAACATCATTCCTATTCTGATTCTAATTCCAGATAGTTTTAGTAAACAACTTCAACATGAATCTAATTCTGATTCCATCTCATTTCAATTCCTCCTGAATCCAATTCCTCCTGAATCAAATTCCTTATTACGGATTAGTAAACGTGCCCTTAGAGTACTTGGATCTAACAGAGAACATAACACAGAACCGAGCGCAATGACGTATTAGGATTCATATAATCGACCCTATTTAGTGGGACAATGCTTTGTTGTTGTTGTCTCAACCTCTTCATCATCAATATCCAAAGTCGCCTCCTCAAGGCATCTTAATGGAGAGTTTATTTTTTCCTTTAGTAGCTATAGATCAGCATTCATTTGTTGCCTTAGTTCCTCCCAAACACCTCAAAAGTTCTGCTCAACTTGTGCAAAAAACTTCGATAAAGATCCTAGGACCCGATTGTAACTGGAACCCATGAAGGGCAAGAACCAACAGTTAGGCTTTGTTTTAGCTTCTTGGATGAACGTTTCTAGTTCCTTGACATGGGATTTTAGCTTCCTCTGCTTATCCCTCAATCCGGTAGAAGTCGGTACACACAAATTTACGCCTTCGATGCAATCTCGAAGCACCCCCATGCTTTGTGAGATCTTGTTTTTTGCTAGGGTCGCCGCTCTCATTGGATAAAAAGGCGATCTCTACTGTTAGGAAACAAAGCAACCCAATGGAAGCCTCTATGATTCTTACAATTGCAAATTCACTTGGAGCACCATAGTTGTCCCTACCTAAGATTAGTAGAGCCCCAGTAGCTGCTGAGATGCCACCAGATTGGTCGTAGATCCTGCTGTACCCAAGAAAATTGGAGATAAAAGACCCAAGGTATAAGTGGTAAGAGCCTGAATTTCTCAATTCCGTTGATAAAAACCATAAGATCCCGAAGATTGATCTCACTTCCGTTCCTTGAACTTAGGCATTTGTAACTGTGAATGTTGCTTGCCTTCCTGTTACAAAGCTGATGGCAATGGTGAAGCGTGACCAATATCCGTTTTCCTTGTTATACAGCAAGCTGAATAACACAGCAAAGCCTATTGCAAGTAAGCACTTGAGAGCAAAAATTAAACTTCCGCAACTCGGGATTATGTTTCTCCCAACCCTTTTAAAGCTCCACCGTTGTTGATTTTGTGAATCGCTCAGTTCTTGGTTAGGTTTCCCAGTATTTCTGGGATTTCGGGTAATGGGTTGGTTTTCTAGTAGGAGTTCCTTGCAATACAAGAAGAAGAAAGCCAGAAGGTCCTCACGGTTTTTTGTGGTAGGTTTTTCGGCCCAAAGAGGCTTGTCGAAGGTTTCTCTGTTCAACTCTGGAGCCATTGTTGCATTGGAAGGCAATGAGTACTTAGCTTGCAGAAGCCTTAGGGTAACATGTGCTTCTCAACTTTGTAAATTGCCTCTTAGCTCTTCATCAATTAGGTTAATAGGATGTGAAGAGCAACTAGATAAAGCTATCTCCATCCCCCTCAATGGAACCTTCATTTCTTGCAACCTTTCACCCAAGTCCATATATTTTGGTTTCAGAAATTTGATATGTGGTATCTCCCACACCATGGTTTCCTGCTTACAAAGAAACAAAAGCCTTTAACTACCGTACCGAACTAACTGACGCATCTCAAACTTACCTGCCTATATAACAGTTTGACACGTGTAAAAGCTCATTGTAATCAGTTGTTACTCATGTGACAACTTGTCCCTACTTTCACGATTTCATTAATTTTTAAAAGCACGAATTGACGAAAATGCCCTAGAGGCGAAATTATTGGCTTTCGTTGATCGTTAGTTCGTGACATGTACGAACTATTACTTTACAGTATTCCAGAAGTACTCGGCGGTGCGAACGCGTAAACGTAAGTATAATTGAAATCGAAACTATGACGGAGGTTTTACGAAACTAAAAATCCGGAAAGTACTTTTATAAAGATTACTATTTATTATTTTATATATTTCTCATAATTATTATATTATTATTTTAATATTATTTTGTTATTATGTTATTATTGAATATTAGTTAAGGGAGAGGGATGAGTGAGAGAAAAAAAAAGAAGAAAAAAAAAAGAAAAGAAGGGACCTACTGACCAATCAGGAAAAAGAAGGAAGAAAGGAGAAGAAGGAGGAAGGCTCAGCGAATGGGGAAGAGAGAGGATAGACAAAGACTGATCGGGAGGAAAAAAGAGAGGACCAAGGAGGGAATGAGTGAACAGGGGATTAGAAACCCCTTTCTCTTTGACCTGTTTCGGATCCATGACCCGACTGCAGACCTGATGGCTGCAGTACAATTCCGGCACTCCTCCGGTGATTTTCAGGCAAAATTCATCGAGCTTTCACTTGGAAACTTGTTCACGACCTCTCCTCTTCCATTTCCACCCATTATAGACGAAGATTAGCTTCTATTTATAGTATAATAGCATCGGTGGCACCGGGGCTTCCTTGGCGTCGATTCGCCATTCTTGAAGGCGTTACCATCGATCCCCACCATCAAACAACTTCCCTTGAGATCAGGCGGCGGAGCACTGAGGAGGAAGAATCGAAGCTCACCCATTCTAGGGTTTCCGGCAGGTGCGAGCTAAATTTGAGCTTTTCCCGGCCAAATTGGACTTGGTCATAGGTATAAAACTTGCTCTACTCATTGAGATCTTCATTCCTGTAAAATTTGAGAATTTTTGGAAATAGTTGAATTTTCTAGCAAGTCGAGGCGGTCGGCCGCCGCATGAGCCGAGGCACCCCCATGACCTTCCTAAGCTAAGTTTTATACCTCAATTCCATAGGTGAAGTCTGATTGATGAAATCTCATCGTTTGAACATAGTTTTGATAGAAAATGTTACTTTATCCTTAAATGAATTGAGGATTCGACCGTTGGATTATCACCAAACTTTAATACGTTATAGTACGTAATATTTGAGGATATTAGAAACTTAGCGTATGGATTTTCTCGAATTGGATTTGTAAGCTCGTAAAATAAAACGTTGATCGTCATTTGAATTTGCAATTGGTGGAGATCCAACCGTTGGATTGTAATGAAATTTTAGTATGATGTTCTAGAAGCATAATGTGGATCTTTGGAAGTTATGGATCGGAAATCCAAGATGCAAATCTTCCGGATCAAATTACATAAGGTTATGGACCCTACCGTCGACTTTGGACCACGGTTGACTTTTGGTTAATGGGTTTCAAATCATTTTAGAACGTCCTTAGGGATGTGTTTTATGTAAGTTACATGTTCTATTGATAAGAATTCTGAGACGTGATTTGATAATTATTCTAGGCACCAATTATTCGTGATGCCTCAATATTCGTGCTAGGGAGTTGTAGCGCGGACTTCAGGTTAGTGAGTCTTTTCCTATTTATAGTGTGTGTGTGTGTGTGTGTGTGTGTGTGTGTGTGTGTGTGTGTGTGTGTGTGATTGATAGTTTCCACAAATGCTTTTGAATTGATTGATGCATATCATGCCATGATTAAATATCGTTATTATAAATGTTGTACTATGGTGAAATGCTCAATAAACTTACTGGATGCACTGGTAAGTTCAAGTAAATTTATTATGTTGTTTCGAATTATTGCATCATTATGGCATGCTTATATTCATATAGTCTGCTCATCATTGCTACACCCAGGTGTTAGTGCTCAGCCTAGGGCCAAGCTAGTCTTTCACGTGTTGTTAACATCAGCATCGCATGCTCTCCTTATATCCAAGTAGGTGTTAGTCCTGTCATACATAGTGCAATAGGCAATTTCGACTCGTATGTGATAATGAATAGCGCTAGTCTTCACGTGATTGTAGCACTAAATCGTATATTATTACAGCTAGTCCTGTCGTACAGGTCATATTAGGCGACTTCGACTCATGTGCTAGCATAGATTGATGAGCAATAGGTGCAGTTGTACAGGTTGCATTAGGCTACTTGCGTGCTAGT